GCTTGAGCAACCAGCCATTTTGGATCTAGACAGCAAAGACAGCCGCTTAGCCTCCTGTGATATGACATCAATCGAAATTAATCGGTCGTCTAAGTTGGGAAATTGATCTTCGCTGGCGGGGTTGAAGAGTTCCAGAGCCTTCGTGTGAGTTTGGAAGCTTGTCGGCCTTGATGCGAGCTGCTTCGGTTATGGCTGAATTGAGCTGAGCAGAGCGATCTGCCTTCTCTTGAGCCTTTATAGCCAAGTTATCGGAAGCCGAAGCAATCGCAGTTGCCAGTGTGACTGGTTTGACCTCGCGAGCCGGCATTTTCTTCTTGATGTTCGAAACAGGGGTAGATTTTGAAGTCGAAGGCTTGGTACCTTCTTTTCTGATAGTAGAGACGGTGGTAGGGTTCTTTGGAGTTGGAAGATCGAGGTTTTGTGAGTCTGTTCCATCAATAACAATGGTATAGTCAGTTAGACTTGTATATCGATTGAAAAGTAGAAAATATCGAAAAATCAAAAATATAGCAACCTGATACGATTGCTTTACCTTTGCCTTTTTCAGTTGAAACTTCTTCATCTGGATCTGGAAGATCATCGAGGTCTCTTTCGGCTTGGGTCAATCCTTGTGCATCTACTTCATCATATCTGCTTTCTTCTTTGCTTTCTTCTAAATTATCATGATCTATAATTTCAATTTCCTCTTCCTCGTTATTCTCTGCCTCAACTCGTGTACCAGAACTTGTGCCAGTACGTAAAGCCCCAGCCGGTTTAGATCCATGAAGCATTGCATCCATTTCTTCGTAGTAGTCGAATGAATTGTTTCGAAGCTTCATCGCGTCCTTGTCTTTCTAAGAAAATCAAAACACGGTCAGCCGAGACAATCTCAAGAAGAATAGCAGGCAAGACAACTGACCTTGCCTACGTTCTCCCACCATTCATTTGGCATGTCGATCTTGCCACCAACCCATCCAGCTCCAGAGGTCATTTTGACTTTTTTCATTCCAGTATAAGAACTCTTGCTCTAGATCGATAGCCGAAGAAAAAATAAAAGAACTTTGATTAAAATGATGAATCGATTTTGAATTTGATATCAAGACAAACAACTGACTGTGGTGTATAAATTTTTGATTTGTTCTCTATTCACCTTGTCTTCTGGATACGCAAGAGTGTATCTCTCGTGAACATTGGTGTAAGCCACGGGTTTCCAGTTGCCACCAATCATGTTACCATCCTCTTTTTCAGTTAAAAACTCGTTGAGTATAAAACGAATCTTGGAATCGGTCCAGACTGCTCTCGCGACTTTTGGAGCGTTCGGATCTTTCTTGGCTCGAGGCATGATATGTTTTGTATGCTCCTAAATCTGTGAGGGGCAGAAAGTGGCAAAAACCTAAAAGCGCTGGTGTTAATATATAGCTTTGTTGGACTTAGTTAACAACAAGCTTGAAACACACCTAAAAGCGCTGGTGTTAATATATAGCTTTGTTGGACTTAGTTAACAACAAGCTTGAAACACACCTGAATAGTGTGGAAGTCGATGGAAGAAAAAGAATAAAATGGACGAAAGAAGATATAGCGAGATGAGTGAGTTATATTTCATTCAAAATAGAAAAAGAAAATAGAAACTAGAAAAATAACATGATGCAGACCTAAAAGCGCTGGTGTTAATATATAGCTTTGTTGGACTTAGTTAACAACAAGCTTGAAACACACCTGAATAGTGTGGAAGTCGATGGACGAAAGAAGATATAGCGAGATGAGTGAGTGAGAAAACAAAAATACAATGCTTAGAAGACTACTATTTATACATAAGTCTTATACAGTCATACAAATTCTCAAACACGCATTCAACGCTACAATCCCTAATACCATAGTCCATTTTAATATCCATCACCATTGACAAGCCACTCTGGGTGCGTCATTTCATATCATCATTTAGTCGCAGTTAAGTCCATGTTAGGTCAGTTAATATTGAAATAAAGTAAGGGTTTGGTCGTAACGAGAAAATATCAGTTTGGACTAAAGCAGTCGAAAGTAACAAGGCAAAAACTGATTAATTACCGAAACCCCCCCCTCGTTAGCCAAATCAGTACCCTCAATCAAGCCGAGATCACGTCTGAATTGTTGAAGTTTTGACCTGTCGAGGGACTTTGTGAGAATATAGCGATCATGTCGTTAGTAGAACAGAACTTAATGTCAATGCTCTTGTCTTGAACCTTCTCTCTAATCCAATGAAATTGTATTTCGATATGTTTGGTTCGACTATGAAAAACAGGATTGCGAGAAAGAGCAATTGAACCTTGATTGTCACCAAACAGAGTAGTAGAGATAAGTTGATCGTATCCAAAATCAGCCATAAGCCTTCTAATCCACATGCCGTCCTGTCCAGCATCAAGAAATCCCTTATACTCCGCTTCAGTAGAGGATAAGGCAACAGTTGGTTGTTTCTTACATCGCCAGCTGACAGCTCCACCATTAAAAATAAAGGTATAACCTGAAGTAGAGCGACGAGATATGGTGCAGCCTGCCCAGTTGGAGTCCGAAAAAGCAACAGGAGGTCCAGATATGTCGGGTTGAAATTTAAGTAAAGTCTCATTAACAGGTTGAACACCATAAGTGAGACAGAGAGTACTAGTACCCCGTAAATAACGGAGCACACACTTGAAGTGATTCCAGTGATCCATGGTTGGTTTGTCCAAAAATTGAGACAAAAGACTGACGGGATGGGATAAGTCTGGGCGAGTACATTGAGAGAGATAGTTGAGAGAACCAATAGCGCGTCGATAGTTGAGGCCACTGGATTTAAAGGATAGCACTTCTTCTTCAGTACCGGGTAAGATTGGTAAGTTTGATTGGAGAGGAGTACCCAAAGACTTGCAGTCTTCCATGCCATACACCTTGAGTAGTTCATTGATGTATTTTGATTGACAAATAGAGAGAATCTTTGCTTCCCTGTTTCTCTTGATTTCCATTCCTAACATCATTTTTACCGGTCCTAAATCTTTGATCCTAAAATCCTTCTTTAATTCATCAAGTACCCATCGAACATTGCTACCAACAAGCACGATATCATCCACCCACATGTAAATCAAGACTCTATCACCGTTCTTCCCAACCCATACAAAAAGACACGCATCCGCATCACTAACGATAAAACCATGCTTGTAATACCAAGCTTTGATTGTTAAATACCAGCTCCGAGATGCTTGTTTAAGGCCGTAAAGAGAACGAAGAAGTTTGAGCCATAAAGATCCACAGCGTTCTATTAACGCAGGTAACCAAGCTCGAAAAGGGGATTCTAATGGCAGTTGTTTGATCCAGTCAACAAAACCATCAGGAATGAGAATATAGACAACTTCTCCTTCTCCAAGGGTAGAATTAAGAAAAGCAGTAACAAAATCAGCTTGCACAATTTCCAAATCTTCAGTTGCAGCGTGTCCAAAAACAGCACGAAGAGTAGCAAGTCGACCTGTAGGAGAAAAGGTTTCCTCGAAGTCCTTGCCTTCCTCTTGCAAGAATCCACGAGCAACACATCTGGCTTTAAATTTGTTAAGGAATCCAGAGTCATCAAACTTGCGCGTGTATACAAAACGGGTAGAAATGGGTTTGTGACCAGGAGGGAGACTATCCACTATCTCAAAAACATGGTTAGCAGCAAAAGAGTCGAATTCTTCGAAAGTTGCGCGTTGCCATTTTGAGGAGTTTCGCGTGAGAAGGGCTCTGGCATACGTAGGAGGATTAGGCTCGAGATCCAGAGTAGATAAGTTGGCAGATTCATCGATCGAGTTGCCAATAATTGAAATTAAAGCTGTCGCAGTAAGAATATGACGTTCTTGTCGTATTTCTTCAGCAATGACAGGTTGATGAAGTCGAATCCGCAAAGGTTCTCGACCCAAGATTTCTTCTTCAGTAAAAGGAACGATCTCAGCATTAGGATCGTTAGAAAGTTGTAAATATGGAAATTCGGCTTCATTAAACCGAACATCATGAGACGTAGAGATGGTTCCAGTGGAAGGATCATAAAGTCGATAGTTCTTCATGCCTTCAACGAAACCAATGAGGATCAGCTTTTCAGCTCGAGGACCAAATTTGCCATCTCGTCCATGAGTGAGATGTCGATAAGCCGCACACCCAAAAATTCGAATGTGACCAATGGAAGGCACCGAACCATAGAGAGCCTCAAAAGGAGTCATACCGTCACAAGATTTTGAAACCGTCCGATTCTCAAGATAAACAGCAGTTAAAACGGCAGCACCCCACATGAATGCTGGCATAGATGCACGATGGAGCATTGTGCGGGCTTTCTCGTTAGTTGTACGGTTGCCACGTTCAGAAAAAGGGTTTTGTTGTGGTGTGTGAGAAGCGGTAACGTCATGGGAGATACCTTCGTTTTTGAGATATTCATAAAAGAGTTTGTTGACATACTCTCCTCCTCCATCGCTGACGATTTTCTTCACCACTCTGCCAGAAGACCTTTCTGCTTGAGCTTTCCATTCCTTGAACTTGTCCAGAGCTTCATTCTTGAAGCGTAGCAAGAACAACCAACGATAAGATGTGGACCCATCGGTAATTTTCATGAAATATTCGTAGCCAGATGGAGTGGGTGGATTAATTCTACCAGAAAGATCAGTGTGGACAACGTCAAGAGGATGAGAAGGACGGGGAATTTTTCCAGAAAAAGGAAGTCGGGTAGATCGGCTGATAGCACAGGATTCACAAAAATCTTTACCTGGCAAGTCATCTACTCCTTCAGTTTGGGCAGCTGTAGATTTTAAATAGTCGTGGTTAATGTGTCCAAGGCGATCATGCCATAAGTTGAAAGAAACAATGTTTGTATTGTCCAAAGTTGAAATAATAGTGGAAATAGAAGGAAATAAAAGACGATTCTTGACAACTCCATTGAAAACAAGCCTATCACCGCGTACAACCGAAAAAGTATCATCACCATGGTATAAGATTTGAGAGCCTTTCTGCCATAAAAGTGAAAGAGGAATTAAGTTGTAGGGTAATACAGGTACATGTAGAGCGTTTTCAAAAGTGACAATTCCACCGGCACCTTGTACCGTAACAACTCCTCTGCCAATGGCTTGAACAGTTCTCCCAACTTCACCAATATTGATGTTGCATAGAAAATCGGAGTAGCTTGAGAAAGCGTCACGGTTGGCGTACATAACATCAGAACAACCTGAGTCGAGAAGTGTAGATACAGGCGTAAGTGATGCATTGAGAGCGAAGTTGGAAGTTAGAAAAGATGGTGCTGACAAAGGGTCCTCAAGATCTACTCCAGCATAGACAGCAGTAGGAGTAGAGTAAACGTTGGCCGAAGAAGTGGCAACAGGCGCCTCGTAAGAAGCGATATTGGCGTTCACTTTTCGTCCACGAGCGTAGGAAGGTTTAAGCTCAGGGTGAGCAATCCAGCATCGTGGCTCAAGATGGCCAGGTCGTTTACAGTGAGTGCACATATGACTGGGATTTTTGTTGCCAGTCGAAATAAGAGCAGTAGAAGGTAAAACTTCATCCATAGTAGCTTGTTGATGCGCATCTTGCTCGAGTCGGTTTAAAATGAAGTTAACCTCGGTTTTCGCGTTCATGGAATGTGAGACTACCCTAATGAACGACTCCATTGAGCGGGGGAGACGCGCAAGAATAAGGACGACAAGGACGCGTTCCGGGATATCGAGACCGACACGTGAAAGAGTAGCAAGGGCAGATCGAACCTCGCTGCAAAATTGTGTTGAAGTTTGATACTTGATGTGGAGAAAGGTATGTAAAACGTGCGTTTGATGAAATACATTATTCGGCATGTATTTTTCTTTGAGATGCTTCCATAGTCCCGCGCCGGTTTTAGCTGTACCCGCCTTGCTAGAAAACTGAGTGGCCAAAGCTAAGTTATTCTTGTCCAAGTGTCGGACAATGAAGTTATAGGCCTTGCGTTCAAGTTTCGAGTAAGTGACGAGTTCATCAGCTGGCGCGTTTTCTTGGAGCACGTAAGTTCCATCAACG